GTAGAGACGGGGTTTCACCGCGTTGACCAGGATGGTCTCGATCTCTTGACCTCGTGATCCACCCGCCTCGGCCTCCCAAAGTGCTGGGATTACAGGCTTGAGCCACCGCACCCAGCCGGATTTTTTTTTTTTTAATATGAAATGTATCTATTGTTCTTATGACATTTAAATAAGTTAACACAAAGTGGAAAAGGTGGCATTAGCTATCTTCTTCCTCATCCTCCTTAATGACTGGAGTACCACCCAGCTTTTTCAGTTTGGGCACTCTCTTGGTAGCTTCTTCAATCCAGTTGTTCTCAGCAGAATGTTTCTTTTCCAAGGGATTGCCTACAAACACCAGGTCTTCCAGGCATGGCAGTTCTGCCAGCTTCACAAACTCAGCCCAGTCTTTTACCAGGTTATTAGACATGTAGAGAATCTTCAATTTCTTCATTACGTGGATCCCTTTCAACTTCTCAATAAAATTGTACGAGATCCACAGTCCTTCTAATGTATCCCCTACTGCCTCCAGTCCATTTAAGTTCTTTATGTTGTTTCTTCCTAATGATAATATCCTCAAGTTTTTTAAGCCATTCAGGTTGGCAATTTTTTCAATGCAGTTTGTAGACAGTGAAAGCTTCTCACAATTTGCAAGCGTGGACAAGGATGCATCCATCTTCTCTATGGGGGGAATCTGGGCATAACGTTATATCTCTTTGGCTTCAGATGGCCCCTGGCCAGTTTTCTCTTCCCGTCTCGCTAGGGCTTCTTTGATTGTTGTTGCTTTCGCCATAACGGCCGTTGCTACTGTCACTGCTCTGGTTGCTAGGGTCCCCCCCCTTTTTTTTTTTTGGTCTCGCTGTGTTACTCAGGCTGGAGTGCAGTGGCACCATCAAAGGGCCTCCTCTGCTTCACAGCTCAGGATTTCAGGCTGGAAGGAACTTTGCAAGGTTGTTTGCATCAAAACTCCACCTGATGCTCTGCTCTCTACAGCAGGGCTTGAGTGGCCTATTTTTGTATTTCGTATGGCCTAACAACTAAGAATCTTCCTTGTTAGGAAGGTTTTAAAAGAGTTAAAAACAAACAAGAGGGCTCACTGCACTCTTGACCTCCCAGGCTCAAGTGATCCTCCCATCTCGGCCTCCCGAGTAGCTGGGACTACAGGTGCATGCCACCATACCTGGCTAATTTTTTGATTTTTTTTTTTTTTTTTTAGAGATGGGATTTCACTATGTTTCCTAGGCTAATCTTGAACTTCTGTGCTCAGGCAGTCCTCCTGCCTCAGCCTCCTTAAGTGCTGGGACTACAGGTGTGAGTCACTGTGCCTGACCTGCTGTTCTTTTTTTGAGGGACTCTTCTTTCTCCCTCTCATCCCTGTTTCACCTGGTTAATGCTTAGGCATCTTGAAGAAATAAGACCAGGCACTAACAAATTGGAGCAGGCCAAGGCCCCTGTATTTCCTCAAAGCTCTTATTATCCTTCGTAATTATAGAGTCTTATGATTATTTACTTATCTATCACTCCAGCTAGATTACAAATTCTGTGAGGCCAGAAGACCTTGGCTGTCTGCTTATTACTGTATTCCCAGTGCCTGGTACAGAGTATCACCTTGGTGGAAATTTTTTTGATAAATAAATAAACAAATAAACATGCACTTTGCCCACAATGCTTTCTCACCTCTCTCTGGTGTTTTTAGGCCTGTTTTATTGGTGGGGATGCTAAGGCCCTAAGAAGAGAAGCAGTTTGCCCAGGGTCACAGAGCAAGTTCATGATTCTCAACAAAGGGCCTCCGCGGCTTCACAGGTTCAGGATTTCAGGCTGGAAGGAACTTTACAAGGTTATTTGCTTCAAAACTCCACCTGATGCTCTGCCCTCTACAGCAGGACTTGAATGGCCTATTTTTGTATGGTGTAACAACTAAGAATCTGCCTTATATTTTTAAAGTGTCAAAAACAAACAAAACAAAAACCAAATAAAAACACGCAACAGGGCTGGGTGTGGTACCTCATGCCTGTAATCCCAGCACTTTGGGAGGCCGAGGTGGGTGGATCACCTGAGGTCAGCGGTTCGAGACCAGCCTGGCCAACATGGTGAAACCCCATCTCTACTAAAAATACAAAAATTAGCCAGGCATGGTGGCAGGCGCCTGTAATCCCAGCTATACGTGAGGCTGAGGCAGGAGAATTGCTTGAACCCGGGAGGTGGAGGTTGCAGTGAGCCAAGATCAACCACCACTGCACTCCAGCCTGGGCGACAGAGAGAGGCTGCATCTCAAAAAACAAAAAAAACATGCAATAGGCAGGGCATGGTGGGTCACACCTGTAATCCCCGCACTTTGGGAGGTCAGGATGGGTGGATTGCTGGAACCCAGGAGTTTGAAACCAGCCTTGGCAACATGGCAAAACTACATCCACAAAAAAATTAGCTGAGTGTGGTGGCATGCCCCGAACTACCTTGGAACGTGGAGGTGGGAGGATGGCTTGAGCCCAGGAAGTTGAGGCTGCAGTAAGCTGTGATTGTGCCACTGCACTCCAGCCTGGGTGACAGAGGGAGACCCTGTCTCAAAAACAACCAACCAACCAACCAGAAAAACATGGAAGAGACAGTATGTGGCCGGCAAAGCCTAGACATTACTGCCGGACAAAGTTTGCCAACTCCTGCTATGTAGCGCCTCTGTGAATCCTGGCCTCAGCTTGCACATCCCTGGGGATGGGAAGTTCTCTACCTCTCAAGACAGCGTTTCCATGGTTGGAAACCAAGCTCTGCCTGGGCTTCTGCATTTCAGGATGAAACCTGTCCCCTTGTTGCTTCCATCCTGATCCCTTTGGTGTCCACCAAGGCTGCATAGGACCCAAAGTTTCCTTCTGACAGCCTGGTAGAGATTTGCGGACAAGATTTGTGTCCCACTGGCCTTTTCCAGGCTGACCAGCCTAGATCATCTCACCATTCTTCCTGGGTGTAGTTTGCCTGTGGAAGTCTGGGTGGGAGATCAGCTACGCAACATCTGCGGCTCAGTCTTGAGTCTTTTGGGATTCTCTGGGAATGCCAGGAGCCTTGTGGCAGTGCAAGGAAATGATTCCCAATATCTCTTCTTGGAAGTCCCCCTCCCCACTGCACCCCCATCCTTGGCCATACTCACTTCCGGAGAGCAGCAGGATGATCAGGGCAGCCCAGGTCAGGCTGAAGTTTCTCAGTCTTGCCATAGCGCCAACTTGATGTTCACCTGGAGGCAGGAGGGTTGTTTAAGACCATGGGCTTTGGAGTCAGAGCTGACCTTAATCCTTGTCTGTCATTGTTCAGCTTGACTAGGTTGCTTGACCTCTCTGAGCCTTAGTTTCTTTGAAAAATGGAAGTAACAGCATTCTGTACTGCATGGGACTTTGGGAGGAAGACACAAAATGATGCAAGCCAAGAGCTTTGCACAGTGCCTGGAACATAGGAAATGACTGACAGCCATTTACTTATACTTGTTATTATATTTGCCTTCCGGGAAAGAGCAGGGAAAGGAGCAGCGAGGAACAGCATTCTTCCCCCTTCCCGGCTATCTAAGCTGGGCTCCCCCCAGAGAGCAGAACCTGAGATGAGGAATTGCATGCTGGTAGTTTATTTTGAGAAGATCCAGGCAGCAGATAAGGGACTGGGGAGAATGAAACAGGGAAGGAGAGAAAGCCAACACAAGTTTACGTTATCATGTTGGTCACCTCTGTGGACAACTGGGGCTCTATCCTGCTGGAACCTTCTGAAGAGCCATGTAGACACTTCTCAGAACTGTCCACCTAAGGGCCAGTTTATCCCTGGGATGGGAAGATTTACCCACTGACTCCTGCCCCTCATTGGTCAAGGGATGCCTCTTGGGTGTTCACTCCCTGGCACATCCAGGTTGGGCATGCATGAGTACTAGGCAGGTTCTTCTGGGGAAGCCATGCCGGTGTTGTCAGGGATGCTCCCTGGAAGAAAGGGAGAACTCTACGGAGTGGCTGAGGCAAGGGGCTGTCAGGTTACACCGGCAGGAAGCTGGCTGCCTCAGCCATGTGGGCTGAGGATACAAAGTAGGGCACCGAGGGGTCCAGTATGCCCGCTGATTCTGGGCACAGACCTCTGGCGGCCCTCTGTGGTCATGGCCACAGTGCCTGGATGGAGGGTGCCTTGGCTCCAGTCTTAGGAGGTATGTGGAAGTTTCTCCCACTCAGGTGGGTGCCCAGCCTAATCTTCACCCTGCTCCCATTGGGGTCTTGGGGCCAACACCTGATTCTCCAGCACGAGTTGGTGCTGCTGGTGGCAGATCAGTGGGAATCGCTGGCCAGCTTGCATGTACATATATGGACACATATATGCAAGTGGTGTCCCAGAAGATCACTTGTGCTCAGCAGGGAGAAAGGTAGGAGAATCTTTTCCTCTCCCTCACAGACAGAGGTTTAGATAAGAATTGTCCAGATACCCAAGGCGGTTCCTGCTCACAGGGGCCTTACCCAGACCCCTAGTCTATCCATATGTATTGCAGTATCAGAACACCCAGGGACACTAGCCCGTAAGTCTCCTTTGTGCAAATCAGAAAGAAAGCACCCCTTCCTCGGGACGGATGCAGCACCACACTAGGACCTGGCAACTAGGGCACAGCCTGGATTTCGGCTCCAGTTACTCCTCAGTTTTGTGCAGTGAGAAACCTGCACAACTATCCCAAGCATCTGTCTACCCATCAGTGGTTGGTAACTTTCTTACTGCAGCACACCAGTTTGATTATCCCCCTTAACAGTGGTTGGGGAAGATTTAGCCTCCAAGCCCAAGATTTTGGGACACTGGTTTTCATCTCCATGTGCTTTTGATCATATCCCAGCTCTGTTGCCCTAGCCAGGGTCAGCTTCAGGCCCAGCCTATGCCCCATGCAGTACCACCTTATCTGCCTCCACTGGCTCCTGTCCAGAGCAGACAATCTAGCCCCGAGAGGCCCCGGCCTCCTCCTGCTGGGTGCTGGGTGTTGGCCTGCTTGGCCTCAGTCCCTGGTCCCTCATTGCAGCCCTGGGCACCCCCCCACCCTGGTTGAGAGGGCCTGGGGCCTGTTGGAGCATCGTCTCACTCTCTAGGGGGCTGATATGCAGAGAGGTTTGGAGCACAGCTCAGATTCAGGTCACCTGACTTGATCTCCAGCTCCACCACTTACTTGTGACCTTGGACAAGTTACTTCACCTTTCCGAGCCAAGCCTCAGTTTCCCCATCTGTGGAAAATAAATAACATTAGCACTCACCCCTCAGGGTTGTTGTGAGGATGAAATGAGATGATTATGGTAAAGGCACTTAGCACTATGCCTGGCATGGAATCGGCACTCAGCAACCGTAGGTTATTTTCACGAGCCATAAAGTGGGTCATCAGCTCATGGAATCCAGCAGAGTTCAGTTCTCCCCTCACCCCTGCCTCCCTCAGAGCCTGCGTGGCCACACCTCACAGGACTACCACCTTGCTTTTATCTGTGCCACACTGCACAGTTCCAAAACCCCCTTTCTGGATCCCTTCCTCCAAGCTCCTCGGCCCCCTGGCCCTCCTGTCACTATGGCCTTCTCCGCTGCCAGGCTCTGCAGGAGTTCGCTCCGAGGCTGCTGCGCAGCACACCTCCATGCCTCCTGGGCTGGCTGCCCTCGGGCCCCCTCTTGCTGTTTCTCCCTCCATCACACTCAACCTTCTCCCCTCACACTGTCTTCCTCAGTTCACACCCCTGGCTCCCGTGCTGCTTTTACTCTCACCTGGAGATTCTTTCTGTGGGAAGGGCGGGGAGGGAGGAGGAGGCTGGGAATAAACAGAGGGAGAGGCCTTTCCAGTTGTGCTGCAGATAAAGAAAAGAAGAGAACGCCACACAGCATAACAGAGCAAGGTGGTGACTGAAATCCACACAGACTGAAATCCACACAGACCGAAATGACAGAGACCCACCGAGAAGAAGACTGAGGCCGGAGATGTCGAGAGACGGAGAAGAAGGGCCCAAGAGACAAGTACGCCGACCCAGAGAGCCGGGGGCACCCAGCGGCCTGGAGCCCGGGAAGCAGTCTGTTACCAAGAGTTTAAGATTCAAAGGAGAGCAGGAAATACGTGAGACAGAGAAACGCAGAGAGTCAGCAAGCCAGAGAGAAGCTCAAGGAGGAAATATGGAAACAGAACGTGAAGTAGACAGAGGCCCAGATGGAGCTGGGACTCACAGA